CGACGACATTCTCCTCTCATCCATGACGTCCTTCGAGATCCACGCCATCACGCTCACCAATGTACCGGCAGCAGGCACTGATATTTTTCCACTACTTCACCCCTACCCAAGCACCTGCAGCTAGGCATGATAGACGACGAGGCCACGCTCCGCACGTTATTCTCATGATCCCGATAGCGCTCTCAGCGCTCGTATGGCTCGATCTCGACGGCTTTACGTGGAATAAACGCGACACTGAACATTAGAAGCGGCGTGTGCGCCTCCACCCCTTATGCCGTCGCTCATCGAGGTCCCAAACTCCGGAAACAGCACGTCAAGGACTCGGACGTCAAGATGCTCTGCCTTTCAGGTGCAAACAACGTGTTCAAGAGGAATGGGATCGAGCGCGACCTGCCACGCCTCATGGCGCCTATGCAAGAGTTTTCATACGACGGAGACGAGGATCTCGAGTATAAGCCTCGTGCAAAGGATAGAGAGGAGGATTCTGAGGGTGCGGCTGCTGATGCTGACGAAAATGGATCAGCGGAGGAAGAGAACCAGGACTAGGACTTGGGTGGAGAGGAAGAGATGGCGATGAACAAGATGGAGATGGAGACGACCCAGGCTTGCGGCTGTCTGAGGGCAAAAAGTAACTGGATAAAGTGGAGTAGGCATATCCTAGCGCAGCGAATCTCTTGGATATCCGCTCGTGCAGGTGTATTGGTGTGTGACAAAATTCAGTTGAGAGCAAAGACACCCCTCCAAGGCTTCTATTTGCTATGTCGAATGAATTATGGTCGTAAAATCATCCACATGGCATTTCCTACTTGTTACTCTACTTGTTCGTTGTCATTGCCGTCCACCTCAACTGCGAACTCTACAACGATACTGAGTCAAAATCTCAGCTTCTCCTCGAGGTCACCAGAATGGCCATCGCAGGTGTCGCACTTTGTCCTCCGATGTCTCATTGCGATACTCGAGCTCCTCAACCAGCGCCTCTAGCTTTCCAATGTCCCGCTCGAACTCATCCCTGGGTCCGATCTTGGTCCCGAAGTCAATGTCAAGTCTCTTCACCCCCAAACCGTGCTCCTTGCGATGTTCCAACAGCGATATCAGGAGGGGCATCAGAGATTCGGCCCGTTTTTGCTGCTTGTGTTTACTCCGATGGCGTTTCTTTTGACGGATATCAGAGAGTACGAGCCATTCTAGCCCCGGAAACGCCAAAGGGTTCTGCTTCATGAAGCTGAAGAAGGTCGCGGCGCCTTGGCGAGATGCGATACTGATCTCGCGGATTCCGGGCAGCTGCGAGAATGCTTGCCAGGTTGCTTCCGTCTTGATATTTTCGAGCCTCGCACTGATGACACGTATGTGTGAAAGGGGGTACAGTGACATGAACATCTGTATCAGCACGTCGCTGCCATCGCCCACCCCTCCGAGGGCGATGACATGTTGCAGACGACGAGCGCTAAGCCCAGGAACCTCGCGTCCGTCCCAACTTGAAGTTGTATGTCTGATGGAGAGATCATTGTCGTATATGTTGACGTGAATACCGTTAAAGGGGCATTTATCGAGCGTGATGGCAAGAGCATGGCTCGGCAGGCCATCCAAAACGTCCTTCCCAGACGCCTTGCCGGCAAGAGCATCGAGAATGAACTCGGACTCTTCTTTCTCGCAGCTTGCCCGCGCACAATACCATATCTTCGTATCTGCAGGGATAATCAGATGGTTCAGAAGATCAGCGTAGGCAGTGCCTTTCTCGTCCGACGTGAAACGTAACTCGCAGAGCCGGGGGAGTGTAACCTTCGTGGTTGGCTTCGCGACGGCGTGGATCGGGATAAACAGGCGAAGCACGGCCCCCTTCAAGGTAAGTGTTTCCAGAGACGGCAGCTCCCTTAGGATGCTGACCCAGGTTATGGTAGTGGTTTGACCTAGCGGACAGATCACCTCCAGATTCGTCGGCGTCGGTCGTAACACGGCTTGTAAAACGTTTTGAGTTGCGCCGTTGCAGCTGAGGGAGGCCAGAACGGGCCATGAAGCGTGGGCAAGGGTCGGAAGTGATGTCTTGGACAGTGGCAAGTAGGACATCACTCTCAGCCGACGCAGCTGGGGAGCATTGAAGGCACGGTCGTCGTCTTTCTCGGAAAACTCGATGATACTGGGTGTTAGACGAAATGAGAAGTCTTGGACTCGGTGCATGGCCCCAAATACAGCTTCCAAAACCCGCGCTGGCAAATCTGCATGGATGTTGGGTTGCCTGAGCGCCACAGGGGCGCTGCGTGATCGCTGGAGGAATGTCGTTATACGATGATAGTCATCAGCCCGGAGGAGGATACGACTCCAGACCTGAGGGGCACTGAGTGCAATGGCACGCCATGCACGACACACAAAGGTAACAGTGAGCCAATAGTGCGGTTTGCGAAGCTCGCCGTATTTGCGATCATCACAAAGGCATACTAGGTTGTAGAAGATCTCCGCGAGTATTTCTGGCGGAAGGCGGCCTATAGGGGCGAGTGTGCTGCGATGATATTTGGCGGCATATATGTGGAATTTAAGGCTCGTGATTTTTGCCTCGAGGCTCTTGAAGAGGTCGCTCACTTGCACAGGCGTAGTGAGGTTGGAAAACATGTCCACGCCGAGTTTCTGCAACATCGTGATTATATTAGCTGAGCCGGTTGGACCAAAACCATCAAGATGTACAAACAGAGCCTGAGGAAACAGTATCGTCAGTATGCGCAGTTGCAGTACTAGT